TATCAACCAGCTGATGACGGAAGCAACTTTCTAATACACAGATTCGACGCCATCCCTGTACAGACCAACTTGGATCGAAGCGTCAGTTGTTCTAGCATGGGCCAGTCTATCGGAAATTTGGTATGATCCGGAATCTGCGCCGGAAATGATAAACTAACTCATAAGTCGAACTACAGCTACATCCTATCACATTTGATGACAGAGAACAACTAATTATTCGATGTCAAGCTCTCCAATAATGCCTTGATTGTGGTTGCGATGAGTACACTGTAATACATTCGCGACCTCAGCGGTCACCCCCCCCCCCCGTTTGGGCTCATCTATTTGAGAGGACCAGAGGTGTTAGTAAACCAATTGCATTAGTGAAGTCTGGAATGAGTTACGGTCTACGTGCATGTACCATGGTGATGTGGCTGCAGTTCACCCGACTGGCTTGCATCTGTCCGTCATATAGTAGCCTGCAGAACACTTTAGATCAGTTTTTGATTAAGTGATCTTCGGGCGTTTCGTTTCAAACTAGAATTCCATACACAGGGAATTATTAGTTCATCCTTACTCTGTGCATATTCACTTACACTATTGTTGTCTTGAAGAATATGTATTAGTTTACTCGACCGATTTCGTTTTATATTCAAAACAACCTGTCCTTTAGTATCTTTCATCTGTGCCATTTCATGTATGTAAATGTTCTAAATCAGCACAATGGACCGTGAAACGAAGTTTTCTAAACCTATAGAAAGGGTATGGATGGAATCACAAACTACTCTTTTATTTTTCGGACGAAATCAAAACATGATTTGGTGGAAAGCAACACAGCTATCTCGCGTGCCTACGAAAATCGCTTTGACCAATGAATTGGTGAATAATATGTACAAATATTATGAAAGGATCAAAATATTTGACCAAGTATTTACACACAATCACTTTTTCATTTTATGATCTGGAGCAATGCACGCCGTTTAAGTGACCAGATGAAACATCCCATCCTTTGACCGTCTTTAACCAATGTTTGTGCTACATGCAGTATTCGGAGACAAATTTTTCGTGCTTCGCAGAATAAACGATGAACCTGATGACTGTTGAACAAAATGGCCCGATTGATTCATTCATTCAAGCAAACCTTTTAATCAAGCAAACTGGTTTACAATCCTTGTTTAGTCACTACAAAAATACGGTCTCCGTTCCTCACTCCGTGTTTTGGGGGAATGTGGATAGAAAGTCTACCTGGAGAAGCGATTTTTCTGGCACATCGACACATTTAATTTAAATGTTTTTTTGCATCTTCCTAAACAATTTTGATGATATATATATATATATATGTATGATGTTGGTGATTTTCAGTGAGAATAGCGAGGTTGTTGGGAGATCAGTGATATTTTGCGTACAGGACATGAGATGGAGATCACATCCATTAATTCCCATTGAGGAACATACTCATGTCCAGATTTCACGTATTTATCCAACAAACAAGAATTAATGAACCGTAACACATTCCAAACCCAGTACTAAAAGTACCGTGCGTGAACGATGCATTCCTAATTCGTTCTCAATTGCAAATGTTTCACGTAGCAGGGAATACTTATCATATTACCACGTATGCACTCGAATATCACAGGTTGGTACCTAGTTGAGGACTTATTTACTGCAAGAACGACATGCGGAGAGATTAGTTCAGTTCTGATGAGTGACTCCAGATCAGTATTTAAATTCTACGACAGTTTGTTCAGAAATTTTGCAGCTATACATGACATCCTTTATTCTGCTTCTTTTCTGAAACTTCGTGAGTTACCGCCCACTATTTCATTGTGCGCGCACAAAAGCACTACTCGTTATTGATGAGTTAGAACAAGAATGAAGCATTTGCAAAATTCTGGATGATGTGAAATGTATGTCCAGAGTCTTCCTCCGGATTAAGAGCAATACCTAAGCTAATTTTAGTTGGTAACTCTACTCAGCTCCGGTAGAGGTCATCAGTTTCAGAGGCTACAAATCATTTTTACCTGAGAGCTCCTGTGGTTCAAAACCGAGGCTAGTCGGTGGATAGTCACTAAGATGACAAAACGCAACCAAAGTGCTTCCCGAGTGAATGGTTAGTCTTATAAACGGCAGATTGTGCATCTGAAAGCTTTTCATCCAAAATGTATACCATTTATCCTACAAAACGGCTTACACGTAGCTGTAGTTTGAGCTGCATTTGAAATCGATTGAAGGTGCGCTATAATTAGTTTTTCAAACGTTAGAACCTAATGACAGACGTTATCTCCGTAGAGAGGTCGTCATACACAGTAACCTGTAAATTTTAGTGTCCACCAACGTGCCCGCAAGGATGACTCCATGTTGAAAGCCTTTCAAACACGTGCTCTACTGGACAATCTTTGATTCAAGATTGGTGTACAAATGTTTGCCCTGTTTTACTCCTCAAGAATCAACCTGGGAAATGCACATTAAAGTGTCAAACCGGAAATTCGACGCCTGTTTCTGTTGAAAAAATACTAAAACGGATTTGAGTAAAATCCTTCATGTCTATCTTGTTGATGTTTGTGCCATACTAAAACTAAACCACTCTTTGGACTCGGAAGGTATGAATTGAATTAGCATTTTACCATTATGATTTTTTTCTATGGTAAGCTGAATATAATTCATTTTCATGCTGCTTGCTTTAAAAATTAAATGTTTAATCTTCAGTAATCTTCAGTTCAATTATTTATCAAAAGCTTTGCGTCACATGTGACAACAGAATCCATATGAATGTCAGTATTTGGCTTCTTCACCTCATGCAACCAGTAAATGATGTGGAACAAAACACAACCCACTCCGCATTCCAGTCGTAGAAAAAGATGTCCGTAAAAACTATTTTTCTTCCATTTAGAACGCTTTTTTAATGCACTTATGCCTGTGTCCGGTTGAAATACACAGCGATGAATTACCACAATGTGTCAGTTTCTTAACAAACCATTTGTTGAGCCGGGAATCTCGAATAGTGTGTCCGGTTTCACATGAGACATACATGTGTCTGGTTTGCGTGTTTGACGGGTGCATGCACTCTCTGTAAGTCACATTCAGTACATTGGTTCGATCATTGCATTGTCTGCAAATATAATAATGATCCCTGTAATAAAAAGATAATCCGGAAAAATGACAAAGTGAAACGGACGAGTGCAGTGGGATCGAACAGCCCATTTTGGATTATTCCAATTTGTATTCAGCCACCAATTATCATGACCCTCTGTATAGAAGTAGGGAAATCTATTCACATCTTTGTCAACGTTTAGGCTGTAAATGTGTGATTTGGTGTCACTTTTACGTTTGAATTTGCTCGGATGTGAAGTATTCGGAATCTGGTTATTGACGAATGACACCCTGAAACCATTCTTGTTTTGGCGTATTTCTCGGAACGGGAAATTCGAGTGGGATTATATAAGGAAAGCTAACTGGAAGCGATATATTAGAGTCAGAAATTTGAGCAAAAGACGGCCAAGGTCCTAGGTTTCCAACAAAGTGACCATGTGTGTAATGGCTTTGAGTTTGAAAAAAGTGTGATAAGAAAATTAATGAACCAGTATTCCGTGTTTGGATAAAGCTTCATAGTCGTCTTTTTTATTCATTCGTGTAGTCCATCGTTGAATTTAGTGAGAAAGCCAAAATTATCAGTTGAAAACATGAATCTGGAATCACTTTATAGGATCTCTGTACCTGCGCATTTTAGTCGTATTAATTTGTAGAAAAAAACAAGTGATAAATAGATCTAGTCTTCCCACAAATTTTATTTTCACAAACACGTACGTAGCTTTTCAGTCAACTATACACTCAGAAAGCCCTGGACTCGAGTTTCGCTGTCATAAGAAGTCATCGGTGGTCCTTTACCACTGACCTGCCAAAGTTTTGAAGTTTAGAGCTTTCAAAAAATGAATGCCTCAATTTGAATAGAACAGCTCGCGCCTGGGATGACCAGAATCACTTCTACATGTCGCTCTCAATGGCAATTATCACAGTCTTTCAATGGGGGCTAACAGATAGTGCTCTTTCACCATTCTCTCCTACTGGGTTTCAGTTTCAGTTTTTACAACCATTAACCATGCACTTTAGTGCGCCGGTTTTGATTGCTGTCTTTTGGTTGCCCATTTGCATAAAATAGCAGAATGTAGATTCAAATGTCGAAGGAAATTCAAGCGGAAGGTGGGGAATACATATAGAGTGATGTCAGGAGAATAACGAGTGGATGCACGAGCGTCACTGTTTGCGACATCTAGCCATATCACTCAGTGTAGCTAACCATCGGTGACCATCATCCAGAGGTCCCCAGCCAGGGAGCTTAACGGGGCCTATGTGACCTAGTCTCCTGGGTAGGGTTTTCATACCCTCATGCCAGGTCTTAGTTTGACCACCCTTGATCTTTTTCCAACTGCTACCTTCCTTGACAAACATCGTTCGCCGCGGCAACCTACCTGGCGATATGCATAACACATGTCCCAACCAGTGTAATCTATGGAGGTCGATCACTTGCTCCAGTGGACTACCGCGAATGCCTAAAACTCTACGCCTAACCTCAGCATAGCTAGTCCGGTTACCCCACCAGACACGCGCAATGCTACGTAGACAGCGGTGTTCGAACACCGACAGTCTATTTTTATCCTGTTCCTTTAGTGGCCAAGTCTCTGCGCCGTAGAGCAGGACTGGCCGAACTGCTGCACCATACACTCGACCCTTCACAGACAGCCGGTTGTCGCGACGGCGCCACAAATGTCTCAATTTGGCAANCTATGTGACCTAGTCTCCTGGGTAGGGTTTTCATACCCTCANNTAGTGGCCAAGTCTCTGCGCCGTAGAGCAGGACTGGCCGAACTGCTGCACCATACACTCGACCCTTCACAGACAGCCGGTTGTCGCGACGGCGCCACAAATGTCTCAATTTGGCAAATGCCAATCGAGCCTTTTGTGATGCGTCCACCGGGTGAGATATAGCTACCCAGATAGCAAAATTTGTCTACTTACTCTACTGCTTACCCAGTTAGGGTGAGACTGGGTGCTGGATCAACCCAATCTTGTAGTAGCATTTTACACTTTGAAGGTGCAAAACGCATGCCGAACATGGCAACACTGGCATTCAAACTGTCCAGAAAAGCTTGCAACTTACCTGGATCGTCACTTAGTAGTAGAATGTCGTCTGCATACTCTAGATCAGACAGTCTGCCACCCGGACGTAAATCGATACCGTTATCCATGCACGAAATTAGGGCTGTTTCAAGAATTTAATCTATGACAAAGTTAAATAGAAAAGGAGAGAGAGGACAATCCTGTCGAACACCACTTTTCGTGGTGAACTCGGGTGAAAAAGTGCTGTAAGCTCAAACTCGGCTTCGGCTATTATTGTCGAGGGATTGTAATATTGAAATAAACTTCTCGAGCACTCCCTTCAGGGAAAGGCAGCGCCAGAGTTTAGAGCGGCCGACTTAGTCGAAAGCCGTTTTTAGATCGAAGAAGAAAGAAATGATGGGTCTACGGAAG